TCCCGACCCATGCCCACCCCTAGATATTGATATCCCATTGAATCCATTGTCAACACTACTTATCAAGATTTTTGAAAAACATGAACACCATCTCATATCTTGACAGGGAGAGCGATTCTTGGACCGACAATTGATCGATGAGGTAAACAAGATCAATGATTTCATGTTGCTACAGAACAACTCAGAGGAAAAGACCTATTTCAGTTCTGATTTAGCGTGTTCCTCTACCTCAGACAATGAGCTCCTTCAAGAAATCCATTCACCCGAGATCCTTAACGGAATAAAATGTTCTGGTGTTCCAAGTCACAAGTTGAAGCTAAAAGTTGGTGTACCGGTGATGCTCATGAGGAATATAGATCACTTGACCGACTTATGTAATGGTACCCGACTTTAAGTGACAAAACTTGGTGCACATAGTATTGAGGCACATATGATGTCTAGAACTAATGCAGGTGAGAAGTTTCATATTCCTAGGATTAGTCTAACCCCAACGGATGTGAGTCTCCCTTTCACATTTATGCCTAGGCAATTCCACTTGATGGTTAGCTGTGGGATGACAATGAACAAGAGTCAAGGACAATCTTTAGAAAATGTGGGTGTTTTTATACGACGTCCTGTTTTTACACATGTACAATTATTTGTTGCATTTTCGAGGGTGACGAGTCCGTCTGGCTTGAAGTTCGTGATATGCGATGATAAGTCCGTATTTTGACACGTATTTGATGCGTGTTGAGATCGGCTTTTGATGATTTTCCTAGTTTTAAGGTGTTACAAGTGTCAATTTTAGCTCAAGTTATGTTTACCGGGCGTTGGTTCGAGTTTTGTGTTGTTTGTAGTCAAAATCAGGGAATTTGAGCCTGACACCGGCACTTGAGGGACAATCGGGATGATTTGAGAAGCATTTGAGAATGATTTGATAGCTTTGGAGGTCACCGGAAGATTCACGATGAAGATTTGAAGGAAAAAGAGCTCTAGGATTGGCTTCGGGATCAAAAGAAGATGAATGAAGCTTGAAAACGACGATCAGGATGACCTTCTGTCAATCGTTCAAGCATATCTCTTTGTAGAAACATCCAATGTACACGAATCAAGTTCCATAGGAAAGAAAACTTCAAGGGCTACAAATCATATGAAGACACCTTTGCGAGAATCTGAGAGCAAGAAGGTGAAAACAGACGATGAAGTCAGATGATCTCTGCTGCGATTTCAGAAAGACACCTTCCATCGTTTTGATCATATCTCTTGATTGGATGATTCAAATCACATTCGGCAAATTGGGGTGGATAGAGGACTTCATTATCTACAACTTTCATGAAGGAAGTATTGTCAAATTCGGAAGTTAAGTAGGCATGATCGTGCCCTCAAAGTCAGACACGATCGTGCCTGAAGAGAAAAGCACCGCAGAGCTACTGCCAGCCAGGCACGATCGTGCCTGGAGGGAGGCACGATCGTGCCTGACCAAAATGCGCGTTTTTGCTCCGGAGGCACGATCGAAGGCACGATCGTGCCTGGCTCCGAAAATTCTAATTCAGCTCAAATTTCACCCGATTTTTCTATTTAAACAGCCTGTAAACCCCCGTTTGGGGGGGGGGGCTTAGAGAGAGTGCCTAGCACGAATTTTAGAGGGCTTTTCAGCCTTGTTCATCAATCTTTTGGGATTCTTTGTAAGTTCCACCTTTTTAATTAATGACAATTAATTCTTTTTATTCCAATTCTATTGATTCTTCAATTATGAATTGTGAGTAGTTTTAATTAGGGATTTGGGATTGATGAAGGGGTTAATCATGATGTATGGCTAGATTCTTTTCGGTTTAATTGCATGAATGCCGTTTAATTTGTGTTTGAATAATTTAATTGATATCTTTTGTAACCTAGAATCGCGACTAGAATTACAATTGCATGTAGAATAAATTAAGAGAGATCTAATTTGTTCTAGGACACATTCACACACACTTAATCGTTTGCTAAGAGATTAGTAGCGATTAAGGGGCCGTAAGCTCGCTCGTCTTGGCAATAAATTATTGTACTCTACGCCGCGAGAGCGGTAAGAACTTAGTAATGATTAGCTAGGCTCAATTAAATTAATTTCATGTAATTAGGCCTGATCTGCCAGAAATCTGGTTACCCCGGAATCGATCCCTGTTCCCTTCGTCATTAATTAGAAAGAACCCCCTAGTTTAATTGTTCGCATTAGTTTTATTTTCCAAACCAACCAATCTCGCACGACGCTTTTATTTTATTTTCTTTTTAATCGCTGAATTTAATTAATTCTTGATTCCCTTTTGTCCGTCCCTGCGGAGACGATACTCGTACTTACACCACTATATTACGATCTATATTAAGTGCGAGAAAACACACATCATGCGACGACGAGGGAAATCAGAAAAAAAAAACGCAAAAATGTTGTCTACAAAGAAGTTTTCAACAATATGTAACTTGTGTGCTTATTAAACTTCAAATATTTTCTATTATATATTTACTAATGGTTACTCTCATTCCCATGATAAATTATAATATAGTCTTTAATTATATTTAGAAGTTGAGATGGGGTCAAATGAACAATCAGACATTGAATGATCCATCTGCGGCGATTTTGACGACTGATTTTCCATGGTCAATAATCCATCTGCAGCGAGGGACGATCCTCCGCCAAAAATAAGGTTTGGGTGGGTGATCCTTTGCATAAGTGGTGGCAGTTGAAGTTTGCGATAAACCTCTATCCAAAAAGATTTAAGGGTATGCCGGCCATCACCTTTCCGAAAGAGGAGATCCAGATATTGGCTTCTAAACACAAACATGCGTTGGATGGATATTTTTTCAAGGGTCGGCCAACGATGGCTACCCTTTGAAAAGATTCTGAATTGATTGGTTTTAAAGGTAACTTCCAATTAGGGCTTTTGGAGAAAAAGCATATATTGATTCGTTTGAATTGGAGGATGATTACTTAGGTTGCTGGAACCGTCAAATATGGGATATCTTTGGAAACACGATGTGTGTAACCAAATGGAGCCCTGATTTCAGACCAAATGTGGAATCCCATGTGGTTCTCATTTGGTTGAGTTTTGAAAACCTTCTCATACATTTACATGACAAAAGGGCATTATTTGACATTGCGGGCTTAATTGGCCGGCCTGTGAAAATCGATGCTGCTACCGCATCTCTTTCCAGGCCAGCAGTTGCTAGGGTTTGCGTTGAACTTAATATCACAGTTGAGAAGCCCAATAAAGTTTCGATCCAATATGGATCACAAGGTTTTTCTCAACATGTGGTCTATGAGAATAGATCTTTGTATTGCAATCATTGCTTGCATTTAGGACATTCAGTTGCATCATGTACTAAACGATCTAAAGTAGAACATGACTCTGAACTCACTCAGGTTCAAGCAAAACATAAGTGGGTTGTTGAGCATATTACTGGGGAAGTTATCAGGAAGCATATTATTGAAGGGGTCAAAGTCAAACACTTTACCCAAACTACTGATGGGTAAAACATAACTTGATGACTCAAATTTCAGAAGGGGACAAGCAACAAAAGATTATTAATATTATAGGCAAGGAACTAGGAAAACCATGTAAAGCTCCGGAAGATTTCCCTTCCACTTCTAAAGCAGATGATAAGACCCTGGATAATAGTGTGATAGTGGAACTTCCTCCAATCTTGGATAGTCTGCCATCTACATCAAAAGCTCATATCACTGACTTGGAAGACTCAGATGTTGAAGCAGTTTACACTGAGATTCTGGTTCCTATTAAAACCACACCTGCTCAAGAATCACAAGAAGATAGTGAGACCATTGACACAAATAACATGGATGGATTCCCATTTAATGTTGATGCATTTTTACCTACAGGAGAAAGAGCAGCTGATGATTACCATTTTTTAAAAACTGTACAAAGGAGACAATATGATCCCACCCTTTGTGCAAAAGGATATTCCTCAGATGGGGATGTCCGCTTTCTTGATAGCCTCAACAAATGGAAGGAGGGGTAGTCTGAACTCACTAGGAAGGTCTCCAAAATGATTAATAAACTCCCCTCAGCCAATCTATTAGATGAGAAAATCCTGACAATTGTAAATTAAATGAACAAAAAAATGAGATGGATAAAGATGATGGTTTTATTAAAGTGGCCAAAAGAAAGAAGAGACAGCCCACTCAGGTTGTCCCAGATACTCCCAAGATTACCAGAAATGCAGCTAAAAAGCTGGCAATAGCTTTCCCTACCCCTCACAAATGAATTGTTTTGTTTGGAATATCTGTGGCCTTGTTTCTTCATGTCCAAGGCTTCGGGATCTCATTAGACAGGGGAGAATTCATATAGTTGTTGTGATTGAGCTTGTTGTTTCTTCTGTGAAAATAAATGGGTTTGCTATGGAGTTTGGTATGAATAAATTCTTTAATTGTGTTGAAAACAAAATATGACTTTTCTGGGACATAGCAAATGTTGATATTTATGATATTTCTGTGGGGGATCAATATATACATATGAAAGTTCATTCTGGAAATTTATTATATTGGTTTACGTCTATCTATGGGATTCATACATACATTAAAAGCAGGAATCTGCAGAATTTCTTAACTGGTTGGGCTGGAAATAATAAAGACTCATGGATGGTTGGTGGTGATTTTAATGCAATAGCCAATCATAGTAAACATAAAGGTTTATCTTTTCCTCCCATAATTAGTACTCCCTATGACTGATGATGGATATTGTACCCGGGGTAGCTTATCTAAGGGATATTATAAGAAATATCTAGAGAGAAGTCGGAGCAAACAAGTAAGAGAGAAAGTCAAATGTTTAAAATGAGCTCGATGATCGTTACAAAGGGGAAAGAGACTGCTATTTATAGTAGCCATAAATGCTATACTCGTGTAGTAATGAATAAGCATATTTATATTTATGTAAATAAGTTTTATTTTAGTAATATTTTTGTAAAGAATCCCACTAAAAATACAATACTCCCAAATTAAATAATCTAAAGTTGTTGGCCCAAAGAGTTTGATGCGGTCCAATTAGAAAATCACATGCTCAACTCTATACCGCTCATCTCTCAGCCGTCTGACGGTCCTACGCTAGTGCTCTCCGTTTCCATCTCCTCTTCCCTGGAGCAATCTGCACCGTGCCGTTCGTCCTGAGGTTAGTCCATTATTACTAACTGTGTTCTTATTTCATCTATTCTTTCATTAAAACCATGAATACTTTTCAAAATCAAGGAGATGTAAATTATGTAATAAGCTGTAATTTATTGACCAACCAATATGCTGGCACTGTTGCCTTCGTACGTAGCAGAGCCAAAATTCCGTCTAGCTTATACAAGTATATATATATATATAGATTTATTTTAATTTTTTATTATTTTTTTATGTACTACGTATGATTTTGCGTAAAAACTGAGTGTTTAAAGGAGATTAACTAGTGTAATTGCACATATAAGACTTACACAATATTAGTTCTCTTCATCTCCAAGACAGACTCAATACCATATTTCTTCCGTAGATAGTCTATACTTCGGTATTATTTTAGACCTTAGTAAAGAGGAAAACTTTATATTTCAAATTGCTCCAATCTATTTCCTTTTACTTCATTGATCATAAAAGCGGTATTTTCCTCTGATTAATAAGAGCAGTCTTGTAGGGCTTAGTGCTTGGAATTTTCCTCTGGTTAATATATATAACTAAAAGAAATTTATTTATAAGATAATGCAATGGTATTGAATAATTAAAATATAATTAGAACAAGGAGAGAGTTACATTGATTGAGAGTATCATATGTTACTTGACAAGTACAATTTTTTGTCAAAGTAGATGAGCTTTTGAGCTATCAAATCTGGAATGGGATTTTTAAGGGAAATTTAAACTTTGGTTTCTATAGCATTGTTCTAATGGCATCTCTAGGTGATGCTTGGGCATTCAGGCGATGCAGAACTCTCACTACGATTAGTCGTTAATGCTGGACATTGTATGCTGTCGTGTAGTCCTTAATAGCAGCAACCAGAATGATATGGACACTTAAACTAACCACTGTGACTGTCATACTCTCAAAGTTATACATTTTATTTTAATCTGACATTCTGATGAGACACATTGCAGGTCTGTCTGAACTGGATGAGTGCATCAAGAGAGATGGAGAGAGCTTCAAAGAGGAAGATAATGAATGCTTCACTTCTTTCTTTTCTTCCAGAGGAAATTCTTCTCGAAATTCTTACCAAGCTTCCTGTTAAATCTTTACTACAGCTCAAATGTGTTTGCAAATCAGCTTATTCACTGTTTACTGATCCTTCTTTCATTGAGCTGCACCACAATATGTGTTCAACTCTTCCGGGTAAGACGAGCATTCTAATGCATTTTCCAACTCGCACCAACATGACTCGTCATGTGTATTACACTATAAATATGAGTGAAGGAAGCCAAGGAAAGCTTCGATCTTGCTATGTTCCGTACTTGGAAAGGAAGCTGTTTCGAAAACATCATTTACGGTCCTCTGCTAATGGTTTGGTTTGTCTATACAAAAAACCCCATGATGTCATTGTTTGCAACCTTTCTACTAGACAACATATATCACTTCCGGAAGCACATGAAGTGCATGGATCAAAATCTCCAAAATCAGGTTGTGCATTATTAGGTTTTGATCCAGTTTTAAAAACATTTAAAGTTTTAAAGTCAGTGCAATATCTGGATTCCCGTGATGTGCAGAAGCATTGGATTTTTACTTTGGGTGTGGATAAGTCATGGAGGGAGATTAATATTGATTCATATTTCCCACATTGCTCTTTCGACTCCTTCTATTCCCACTCTAGTAGTGTTTATGTTGAGGGCGTTATCTACTCACTAAATTGGCATAGAGGAAATATTGATGATTTTTCTAGGTGCGATGATATTGCAGCATTTGATGTTAGGACTGAAAATTTGAGCATGATATCTTTCCCCAGTGGATTGCCAAGACAGGATTTTTACTCGTCAGACGTCTTCTCAAGATCAGGATTGGTTGGACTGGAGGGTCGACTAGCTATCATTCAGGTTTGTCCAAACAACGACAACAAGATGAAAATATGGACTTTGAAAAATTCTATGCAATGGGAGAACAAGTGGACGATGCCCATCCCATTGGAAGGGAGAAAGCTACTAGGCCGAGCTGATTTGCTACGTTTTGCTTCAACCCATGCTGGGGAAATTGTGTTGGTGACTTTAGGGAGGAAAACAATTTCTGTTTTGATTTATGGATTAAGAATGCAGGTTTGGAGAGTGTTTAAAGTACGTGGACATTTCCCAACTGATAATGAGGCATGGAAAAATGTCATGCACATCGTTCCAGAGAGTATATTTTCCCTCATATAACCCCATCCTTGTCTTTCCATTAATAATATTTTTATTTTTATGTCCATGATTCAAATTTGAGAGTTTAGGCTAGTGTTATAAATATTGTTCTTTTTGTGTGTTTTTGTTATTCATGCGAATCATGCTAGCCTGCTAGGATACTTTGTCCGACAAACATTTTACGGAATATTATTTAACTCACAACATGTCCATGATTCAAATTTGAGAGTTTAGGCCAGTCACCAGTGTTATACAAACATTTTCTCCTACTTTTGTCATTGAACTCACAACATTATGTAAAATGACCTAATTACTTAAGTAATTAAATCATCTTCTATGCTAAATTTTGTTCTACAGCTTGACTTAAAGGCTCAAAGTTTTTAAGAAATAAATTTTATATGGAACAAATCTGAATCCTCGATATAATTCATTAAGGCTTTGTTTTTCTCCCCAGCATTTAGGCGAAAATGTCATTTTTCAATTCAGATGAGTATTTATTTGAAATGCTAATAGACAAACATCCCCCAAGTATTTAGAACAAGCCAGGTGTAATTAAGAAATTGAAACAATTAAACAAATAATGCACTGCAAAGTGAATTATCAATATTTGTTGCCACATGGCATAATTGAGAAAGTCTAGTAAGATTTTTTCTTGAGTTAACTAGTTAAGGGGTGTTTGGAACTGATTATGCTTTTGCTTCTGCTTCTTTTTTAAAGCAGAAACAAAATCAGTTTTCAGAAGCTGGTCTTCTCCAACTTCTAAAAAAACTGATTCTAGGAGTAAATTAGAGCACCACAATCACTTTTACCCTCTCACTCAAACACCCCAACTTCTGCACTCTGAAGGAGCAGAAACAGTTTTAAGAATCAGATCCAAACACCCTAAGTCTCCTAGTAAGTTTTGTTAAAGAGGTTACTAATGTAACACATAAGTTTTCGTGTTTGTATTCCTTTCCCAGATTAGTTAGTACTAAGTTTTTCAAGAAGGTTTTTATTTGGCATTTGATAAGGTTGGAGAAGTAATGTGAAATAAATACGTACTACAGAGTATGTTTTTAGGACCCTTGTGTATTGATGTAAGACCCTTAGCTCATAAAAGAAGTATTACCGGATTATGGAATGAGAATATGGCCACTTAACAAAAAAGTTAGAGCACGATCTCTTTACAGGAAGAGTGGAGTATCTATTACTTCAAGGCTTCAAGCTTCGAATATCTACTGTGCACATTTTCTTGTACAGCTTGTCTTAAGGGTTGAAATTTTGTCCTAAATAAACTTTTAATAGAACTAAAATCAAGAGTTCAAAACTCCATATAATTCAAGCATTTAGAATAAACCAGATTTATTGAACTTATAACTGGAATTCTGGAAATAAACAAACAATGTACTGCACGTGTGCACTAATATAGCAGCGGGCTTCCTTCCCTAAGGAGCACAAAAAGCCCACCATCACCTCTGGAGATCCGCAAATCCTTATCAAGGTATGTAGTAAGTAGCCAGGAGTTTGCCCCATCACTAGGAATGGGTATCTTTAGAGGGGGTTGGCCAGAAATTTTGAGGGCTATACTAGCGACTGCATATTCGAGAGGACTCAGAGACCGTTGGATAGGGCTCAAATTTATCTTCTGCCCAAACACATCTACATTCTCGGGCAAATTGATTCGTGACTTGATCTCTGGAGGTCTAAAGCTGCCTTCCTTAAATTCAACCTGTCAAAGTTACTTTGTCAAAATGAATGGTAAAACTATAGTAGTGCATTGATGGCAGAAATCCATGTTTATCCAAAAAGCTTCTCAAGTTTAACATTGCTCTCTAAAAGCATTCCTTAAGCTCATATACCATTTATCCATCCATATATCAGTTATAGAACGAACCGCACATGAAAATCATCAGTTTGGTACCCTTCAATTATGGCTAATCAGATCCACAAAAAACACCAACTTATTTGACTGTAACATCTGAATCGACGGATAACAAATGATAACAATGATGATGATGATGATGATGAGGGTAACCCTTATTTTTTTCTTTACCAAAAAAAGATACTCAAATACCTCAAATGAAGACAAATGACAATTCTAACCACATCTTTTTATTTGCATAAAAAAATTTAAATACATTTCCAATAGAGTTTTGAATAATTCAGTTCAATGACCTCATATCAGTTATAGAACGAACCGCACATGAAAATCATCAGTTTGGTACCCTTCAATTATGGCTAATCAGATCCACAAAAAACACCAACTTATTTGACTGTAACATCTGAATCGACGGATAACAAATGATAACAATGATGATGATGATGATGATGAGGGTAACCCTTATTTTTTTCTTTACCAGAAAAAGATACTCAAATACCTCAAATCAAGACAAATGACAATTCTAACCACATCTTTTTATTTGCATAAAAAAATTTAAATACATTTCCAATAGAGTTTTGAATAATTCAGTTCAATGACCTCATAAAGTCATTTTGAAATCCTGCCTATTTGGGGTATGACAATTTATAGCCAAATATATCTCTCTAATTAAGGAGCTCGAAATAGTAAATACCTCAAAGGTTCAAACTCAAAGAGTCCATAACTTCATATTGATATCATACTTGAAAAGCATACCTGTATTCTTGAGGGAGTTCTAACCACATAGTTTGCAGTAGCACTGAATGAAAACGTCGCAACAGGGGTAGACAATGTTGTCAAGTTTTCTATCGAAAGGCTGCTAGTATTGATCGATTGAGAAATCTTTTCAACTTTAATAGATGGAATGTTGCCCACAGCAAGAAGTGGTAGAAGCTCAGAAAACGCCGTAAACCTAACACGTGACATGAAAAATGGATAAAATGCTGCAGAGTCTAGATAGCTTATAAATTGAATTCTAAAGAATTATCAGTCCGGCTTATGAATCAATATCTACATATACTAATACCGATTAGTGATAACAGGTTATCACTAGCTCTACTCAGCCTTTGACCAAGTAGCTACCAATTACTTGGGAGTAATCGCTTATCACTTAGCTCTAGTCAGCCTTTGACCAAGTAGCTACCAATTAACTATCTAACTACTGAGCTTTACCTCAATTCCAGGGATGGAGGTCAACATAAAAAGGAACTTGATTTGAAAATGTTTTTGCCTCTACCATGCAATTACTGGTAAACTCTTCTTTTTATTTCAAATGAAATAATAATCATTTGACCATCACGGATATTTCAATGAAAACTAACTCAAGCAGAGAAAGCAGCAATTGTACTCATTTGTTAGAGAGAAGAAGTTTTAAAAAGGGCAATCTTTGTGTAGGACTAAGTGAAGCAAGCAAGAAACATATGAAAACTGAGCCAATGCAACAATGCTTCATGTACCCACTCTTATACCCACCATGTTTGTGAAGTGTTTTTTGTCTGTGAACCCGACTCACAGACAATTTTTTGTTTGTGCAAAATATTGTCTGTGAATCGGGGTTCACGGACAAAAAAACACTTCACAAACATAGGTGGGTACAAAGGTGAGTATAAGAGTGGGTACAAACATCATTTTTGTCTGAAATATAACCCCTCTACTATGCTTCTACTAGTCCCTATTTTACTCAAGACACCCTATCAGGTTCTGCAGCAAAAGAAAAATTATTGAGCACGAAATTGTTAATCATGAGTCATGACTATAAATTAAGAAACAATGTTCAATGTGTACAACATAAACCCAGAAATGTGGAAAATGGTAAACTACACAGTAAAGAGACCATGTAATAATACATATGGAGTATAAAAAAGAAAAGAAACTCACAATAAAATCCAGTTCCCGTCAAGCAACTCAGGAGATTCCGTTGGAGACGGGGTGGGATTGGCAGCCTCCAGTTGAGAAATGAGCTCCAGAGCCTCGGCCCGTACCTCCCCCGAAGCCCGGAACCCAAATTCAGTACCATAAACCGTGTCCACGAGGCATATCTTCAGGTCCCTAAGCTTATCTTCTTCACCACCCCGTTCAGGAATCTCATTTCCCCCGGACTCATCTCCGCCCCACTCATCTTCGTTCCTGGGAGGATCGGAGTCCGAAAATCTCGTGGCAGGCTGGGTCTCAGGCTCCGACTTCTCTCCCCACTCATCCACAAAAGCCGACGTCTTATCATCGGAGAAGTTACCCTCATCGTTAGGTCCGGCGGAAAGAGGGTCTCCAGATGGTTTCCAGTCGGACGGCTCATTTGACGAAGAGTAGGAATGCCGAATCGCTAAGGTTTTTGATCTGGTGTTTAGAGTTGAGGAGAATGGGAGAGAATCGATGGGTTTAATCGCGATTTTCGGGGTTTTGCCGGTAAGTAGAACGGAGGCGCAAGGCGCGTGAAGGAGAGACATTGCGCTACAACGGCGGAGTTCGATGCCCAAGCGGCGGCTCTGGCAGACAGTTTCAGCCGGAATCCATAGATAATGATGCCGCCTCCGAGTTTCCGATTATATAATGCGCAATTTCCAGTCAGTTCTTGACTTCTGGAATGTAGTTCGGTAAGTTCGGTCAGCCGGCAGGGATGGCATTCGGGTCCAGGACCGCGGTCTGAATAGCGACTGGGATTGTGGAGTTTTTCTGTGGGATAGTAAACTAGGGCCGGGTCCGAAAAACCGAAAACCGAATCAAATGTAAAAAATCGTAGCTAAATAAAATCTAACCGCTTACAATCCAAAACCGAATGTAAAAAACCGAACCGAACCATAGTTGTTTGATTCAGTTTTGGTTTTTACCTTTCAAAACTGAACAAACTGAACTCATAACCGGCTATTAAGCTCTGATAGATAATTTGCCAAAAAAAGGTCTGATAGATAAACTAATTGTAACATGTAAATTTATGAAACTAAAAAATATTAAAGAAATGGATTGTCTATGATAAATATGATCGAATAGTAGGCAATATCATTAAAACTTAGTTAATGCAATTTGGAACACTAGAGTATTAATTAAGAAAAGGTTAATGTCAAAATCAGTTCAATAGATCTTGAATTTGAACAATTTTACTATACAATTTTTCATTTTCATGATTTGAATATTAAATAATCGATTATGTGCCAAAAATATGTCTAAGTCATTGAATTATATTTTTATGTGACTAGTATTGCTTATTACCTTCATAATCACAAGATATAGAATACTTATTTCAATATTATTTGAAATTACTTTTACATGTAAGAAGTTACTCCGGTATTCATTTATCTACAAGATAACGTGCATTCAACAATGATTACATTTTTGTCTATTAAGGTAATCTAAGGCCGTTTTATTCAATTTTATATTTATATGATTTGCTTACAAATTTGGATTGTTTAATTTGGATTGATTTATATGATTCAGTTTAAAGTTTAAACACAGAAAACAACTAGAAGCTCTCATTGGGGGCAACATACGTCATTCATTGGGGGCAACATAAGTTTTTCATTGGGGCAACATATTTCTCAGTAAAGAATTACTTCATCATATATTTAAAATTTGAAAGTTTATTGGGGGCATGTGCCCCCATTGGTGAAAGCATATATCCGCCCCTGAAGGCAATAAGCTACTTCCGTCATTCATTTTTGCTATGCATATTTGGGATTTGGATCCTCTGCCGTGCGGCAGAGGTGCCTTGCGGCATCCAACGGCAGGGACGGTAGGGGAGGAGAGGTGGTGGGGCTGTTTTGGTTGAATCGCGTGGCTGTAAAAGCCACGCACCCTACCTTGCTGCTATAGCAAGTCAGAGAATCCAGATCCGCATATTTGGACATACTATTCTTCTTTAACAAACTAATATTTTTTTCAATATAAACTCTATTATTTTGCCAAATATCTTTTTTATTTCAAAAGCATGGAACTAGAAAATGCCAGTTACGTTTTCACCCTACTTGAAATGTATAGTATGGTGTAAATATTGGTAGCAACTCCATTACTAATTTAGATGTTTCTTATATTCATAATATCAAATTGATCTTCATCTTACTTGAAATGTATAGTATGGTGTAAATATTGGTAATAATTCCACTACTAATTTAGATGTTTCTTATATGTATAGTATCATTCAAAATGACTGCATCATAGAAAAGAAAACAAAAAACTTAACATGGCATGCTTTATGAAATTTCTCTATCTTATAGGCTGCAGCACAATCACTCCTCCAAGACGTTCGACGGCGGACACCTTTGATCCGTCTCAAACTCTCAATTACCCGGGCAGCCAGACATGGCTCGCCTCACACTTCAGAAGAATAAAAATCTAGGTTAACTACTCTCAATTATGCGAGGTTATTCTTCAATTTTAGTTCTTCCCCTGTTTGTTTTTATATAAAATCCCAATAAATTCTTTGAATACATGTCCAGATTTGCAAACATTTGGGATTTGCATTAGAAAAAAAAATCGTGATTACTGACCTTATTTTTATTGTCAAGGATATTGGTTTTTGTGCAATTCTTCATCCTTTTTTGTTTCTATCAGTTCAGGCAATATATTGTAGATTTGTAGGCAACCCGAATCGTGGACAAATGAATGTAGCGGGAATGCCAAGGTAAGATCTTAACTATGTGACCCTATTGCCAAGGTTTTCACATTCTTTCTTAAATGAATTTAATTTTTTTGTATGACTTTAAAGTAAATTCTGAAATGAATGTCATATTACTATGATTATCTGGATTTGCATTAGGTTAGTTTGGCTAGAATGAGAGCTTAATGTGATTAGTTTTCTGGCTAGATCATAGAATAAGGCAATAAGCTACTTCTGTCATTCATTTCTGCTATGGATATTTGGACATACTATTCTTCTTTAACAAACTAATTTGTTTTTCAATCTTAACTATGTGACCCTATTGCCAAGGTTTTCATATTCTTTCTGAAATGAATTTAATTTTTTTTGTATGACTTTAAAGTAAATTCTGAAATGAATGTCATATTACTATGATTATCTGGATTTGCATTAGGTTAGTTTGACTAGAATGTGACTGAGAGCTTAATGTGATAAGTTTTCTGGCTAGATCATAGAATAAGGCAATAAGCTACTTCCGCCATTCATTTCTGCTATGGATATTTGGACATACTATTCTTCTTTAACAAACTAATATTTTTTTCAATATAAACTCTATTATTTTGCCAAATATCTTTTTTATTTCAAAAGCATGGAACTAGAAAATGCCAGTTACGTTTTCACCCTACTTGAAATGTATAGTATGGTGTAAATATTGGTAGTAACTCCACTACTAATTTAGATGTTTCTTATATGTATAATATCAAATTGATCTTCATCTTACTTGAAATGTATAGTATGGTGTAAATATTGGTAATAATTCCACTACTAATTTAGATGTTTCTTATATGTATATTAATCAAAATGACTGCATCATAGAAAAGAAAAAAAAGCTTAACATGGCATGCTTTATGAAATTTCTCTATCTTATAGGCTGCAGCACACTCACTCCTCCAAAGAAAAAAATTAGCTTGGTACTCCTCCAAATAAGGCTGTGCATTAACCGGGTCGGACAGTATTTTAGACCTGAACCGGACCGGACCGGTATTAACCGGTCCGGGTTTCGGTCCTTAGTTTTTCAAGATTCCGGGTTTCCGGTCCGGTCCGGGTCAAACCCGGAAAAAACAGGTCCGGACCGGAATGGACCGGTAACATATTGTTCTATAAAATATATACTTCGTTCTATATCATTAGTCAATTTATATTTGGATTACTAGTATGTTTATGGCTTACTTTTGTCTTTTATTATATAAACGAATATATACGAAGTGTGTATTTGTTGTCTAATTATTTCTTAAGTTGTTTATGATTTTTTATTTTTGTTCGGGTGTGCACTACTATGATCGTAGTTTATATTTGTTTGATTTTTCCAAATCGCTTTTTATTTGTTTCTTTATATGTAGGTGTGTATGTAGTGTAGTATACGAGTATATTTTTGGACGTAACTTAGTTTTTATTACTCTACAATAGATTTTGCCATTTTAATATACACATAAGATTATAGTTTTAATTAAAGAAATTGATCTAATTAGGACTAAAACATAGTGAATATTCTAACTTGGGACTTAATGTTTTAAATTCCCTAAATAGGACCCCCTATTACCATTTTACCCCTAATATATCAAATCTCTAAATCCGTCTTCCGCGTCGATCAGCTCTCCCGATCTCCTCTGCCTTCTCTTCCAGATCGATCGCTCCAGATGTCTTCCGCATCTCTCCCATGTCCGCATGTCATCTTCGCTTCCACGCTCCACTGCTCAGGTCAAAATATTTCCAGGTAAGTTCTTCTTCTTTCTTCTTTTCCTCATCCTCCTTCTCCCTCTTGTCCTTCTTCGTACTCTTTTATATAAATGGATTAACGATGCTTGTTACAATCGTGATTCTTTATGCTTTCAATGTTGGTCTTACAATTCAAAAATAGAGCTTTGTTGATTTTTAAGATTCAAATAAATTTTTTTATTTGAAAATTTTGGATTTGGAACTTTTGGATATGAACTTCCCATCCTCTTCAAATCTGGGTCCTTTGTTTTCTTCTTCTTTAGATTTCCAGAAAATGACACTTTTTGAATAAGAGAATGCCATATTGAGAATGACATGTTTCTACACGAAATTGTCATTGTTGTGTCATTATTGGTCATTTTTAAAAAATGCCACTTTCATGTCATTACAGTATTTGAAAATGTCATATTGAGAATGTCATGTTTCTATACAAAATTGTCATTATTGTGTCATTATGCATATATTAAGTGACATTCTCGCATATGAAGTGTCATGCCTCATGGAAGTCTACACAGACTCACTGGAGGGCAGATTTTTGTTGGAGAATGATGACAGCGTACTTGCTGAGGCGTGAAGGTGGTGACAAACTTGATGGATGGTGGAAGAGCCGCCATTGGTGGAGGCGCCGATCTTGGAGGCCTGGAAACGCACAGGGCCGTTTGCGCATCAGGGGAATCGCATATGCGCAGCACAGGCCCCTGCGAACTCTTAATATGTTCATTAAGGGTATTTTTGTCCAATTAGCTCTTTTTAGTCCTATTTTTGTCTAATAAAACATAGTAGTCCTGTTTTTGCAATTCTACCTTCATTTAGTCCTATTTAAGGAATTCTCTCTTTTAATTATTGTGGAAAACTAATTGTTATGATTGAATAGTTTTGATGTTTATATTCCAAAATTAATAAATGAGTTAAACAATTATTTAATCTATTTAGCATATTCACACATAAAATTATAATTTGAAACGACAACAACATCCAAGCTTTATTCCTAAAAAAAATTCGATCGGCTAAGAACACTCTAAGATAATACTGCGTATGTCTTTTTTTAAAACCGGGTCAATTAGGGTGATGGACAGTCTACCCGGGGGTATCTTATCCGAGGGGTTATTGCGGGAATAACTTAGAGAGAAGTCAGAGCAAAACAGGAGGAGAGAGAGTCGATTTATTAAATGAACTCGAGATGTGAGATCTGGGATGTGGATCGTTTACAAGGAGGAATGAGCTGCTATTTATAGCAGCAATAAATGCGATGAGAGTACACGTGTCAGTAATCCAACGGCCGAAGGGTCACATCAATCGGGTGGCACCGGCAGTGGCATGTTCACCGCATTGAATGCGGTTGGCGGATGTGACGTCACATTAAATGCGGTGGTTGGCTGTCTTCAAAGGGAATCTTCGATGATTGAGCATGTTTGGCCGAGGGCTCCTTATGTAGCCGAGGGTTTCGTGGAACCGGGGACCCCTGTGTATCCGAAGGCCCTGTGTGGTCGGAGGCTTGGTTCAGCCGAAGGCTTCCCTGATGCCGAGGGCTCGACAATGCCGAAGGCTCCTATTTTCCGCCGTTTTCCCCCAGTAGCTTCATATGCCAGAGAAGGCTATCTTGTGAGTTTTGGAGCCTTCGTCCAAGGAGGCCGAAGGCACCTCAGTGTGTGTTCTGGTCTCCTTTAAGGTTTGGGCCGTCGCATTTAGGCCTGAGTTGTTCTCTGCGCTCAATGGGCTTGTGTAGGAGAAGTAGGAGTCTGTGGGCCGGGGGTTCCTGGGCCATATACTCAATCATAGGGTCAAACCCGGACCGGACCGAAAAATTAAGGTCCGGACCGGTCCGAACCGGTCAGATTCAGGTCCGGTCTTCGGTCCACAGAAAATGATGATTCCGGTTCCGGTCCTAACCGGTTCCGGTCCGGTCCGGTCCGGTTTTGGACCGGTGCACACCCCTACCTCCAAACACTGTTAGCCCATATCCCCTTTCTTTTATTGATGACTCTGAATTATTTGTTTGCTCTCTTTTTTTAATTACTTAATTCACCGGGGTCATAAGAAAAGGACTGCCTTCATTGTTACTCAATCGAGTCATAGTAATATTAATAATTAATGAAACTTGAATGACTTTTTGTTCGAGAAAAGGACACTTATATACATAGTCACATGTACAAAGATGTTTCACCTATTGCCTTTACACATGTAAAAACATGGTTCTCTTAAATATGAGTTTTGGATTTTGATAAATCTTTTCTTCCACGGTGGAATTGTGGAAACTAAAATCATGTTAATTATAATGCCTTAATTATGTTTTTATTGAGCTTCTAGCTGCCCTGCAGTGTTTGGATTGAGCATAGCCAAAGATTGGCTTTTGACAAGGGATGCTTGACTTCTATAACATCGATTTGGTTAAATTGTTACAAGGTTAAGAACTCACTTTGTTCGGTTGCAATTTATTATAGCATAATATTTTTTGTTTTATAGAAAGCAAGTTCTCTGAATATTCCTCTAATTTAAGTCTGTTACTACCCAATCCAAGGTTGTTACTGATGATATTCAAAGAAAATATTAGATTGAAATAATTTGGAAGGCCACACACTTCACCTTGCGAATTGAGTGTTCTTTGTTTAACCTAATTTGATTTGAGTGTTTTTCACTTTATTGATCCTAGACATTGATTTATCTATGATTATCATGGACATTGTATTACGATTTTGAGAGAAACTTAACAGAGCGAGCCTTGTGATCTTAGGTATTGATCTTTCTGTCATCGTATTAGCAAATAGTGAGTGTTTGAGTATGTGAATTAGTAAATAGGTTTATGACTTTATGACATTAGAGGTCAAGCGTTTTCCAGTAAGGTTCTTAAAGTGAGCTGCTTACTGTTACTTTTAATTTGTCCAACGTAAGATGTATTAGCTTAAATTCTCCTTCTTAAATCCATATTTATAGGATATCCCTATGTACTTTTACAACATTTAACAACACTATATGTACTCTGGTAAAGTTTGATAGGCAGATTTGACAATAGGGTTTAGTCTATTTAAGAAAATAAAATGATGAACCTAGAGCTACTAAATATATTAGTTGATTTTTTCAGCTATAAAGCAAGCAATTTCAAACAATTGATTTTTAAATGCAATATCAATTGCATCGTAAGTCAGGGGCATATTTAGCAACACTCTTGAGAAAGCTCCCATGGTCACTTAACTAATTATGCATTAGGCCATTAAAACTATGTTGGGAGGAAAGGTAACTATACAACAATTTTTGTTGATACTCGATAGGGATATTTTACAAGCCCTCATATAGTCTAATATTTTATTTGCATTCTTTTTTACAGCAGAATCACATCTCAAGATGCTGCCAATCTGCCATGAATCAGGATAACAACATAAAACACATGCCAGTCAGGGATATACAAAAACATCATTGATGAGGAAGCTTTTACATAAAACTTCAATGTGCATAGGAGTGATGTGCCCCAAAGCCTACTACCTGTTATACATCCATGCTTACAGCAGATACACATCTCTTAAGTGATGTGTAGCTGCTGATGTGTTCTGAAGTAGACAATGTGCTATTATAAGCCAGCACTATGTTAAGTGCTGTTAAGTGCTGTTCAGTACTATTCTTAAAAGAAAGCAGTATGTTCAATTTGTTTGCGCAATCCAGAGTAAACTTGGGATCTACATATTTGGCAGTTAAGTGCAATCAATATTAGTGACTTGACTTGAAATAAATATAAGCCTCATAAAGTATTTGTGAGGTTTGTATTTTTAAGGTTTGTATTCAAATCTGGATAAAGTATTTTTAAGGTTTGTATTTATTAAAGTATATATGGTAGCATATAATTTTAAAGAAACATTTTATTGTGATTTAGTAATAAAGATGAAATTAAAGTATACTCCCTCCGTCCCCTTTTAAAAGTCCCGGAAGAAGGTGGCACGAGTTTTAAGAAAAGTGGGTTTGTGTGGTTGATATTAATTGATAAAGTAGGAATAAAGTAAGAATAAAGTAAGAATGATTTTGAGCCACACAAACTTTACTAAATGAGGTATGAGACATTTAAATAGGGACATCCCAATATGGTAAAATGGGACATTTAATTGGGGACGGAGGGAGTATATGGTAGCATATAATTTGTAATGTTACATTTTATCTTAAATAAAAATCAGAACTTTTTATAAAAGAAAAAAAGAAAAAAGCCAAGTGTTATCCATTCATTTGTGAATATAGTTACATTACTACAAAATAAAATAAAATTACTTTTCACCCCGTGCAACGCATGGGTGAAAAAACTAGTGAGCATTAAAGTACTACGTAGTATTCTTTGAATATTTATGTATTCATGTTAAAGTGAGGAGTATATTATGACCTGTTTGGATGAATCGACTGATTTTGCTAAAATTTTTGGAAAAAAGGATGACACCCCATCCCTGAGGCCCCCCAACACCGATCGGACGACACGATGAGAGGATGCAAATTGAACTATAATCACAATTTGACAGATAGAGAGTGAGGCTCCATCTCCGGTACTTGCAGAGGCCCTCTATTGAGTAACCTCTCATCGCAGTTGCCGGGAATCAAATCCAAGACCTAATTCTTGTGGCACTTCCTCGCTACCAGTTGAGCTAAACCCACCGGTATGTTTTTTTTTTGAAAAAAATATAAAATGTTTGCTAAAATTTATGAAGTTCTAGTTGAAGTGGTTGAATTAGCTAATTTATGAAAAACTTATATTTAGAATATTTTTATTAATAAAAATAAAGAAAAAAATTGTATGAAACATATCTAAAATGAATCTCTACAGTAACTTTAGCTAATATAGTCAGAAAAGTAACGTCAACCTTACTTTTTCTTATTATTACATAGTTGAACACTCGAAATAAAAAATTGCGTGTTTTGTGAAAAAGTTGACTGATAAGCCGAAAAACATGAAATTCACTAACGGATTCTATGTGGACTATGGTCATATGGACAAACCCCAATGCAGAATACACATGAAATTCATAGAGATCGTTTTATTATCAAAACGGCTTTTCATTAATATAGGGCAAACATGCAAGACAAAATCTAGAAAGTTATTACAGATTCGATCGTAAGCCCTAAAATAGACTTAGAGTCGGCCACCTATACAAAGCAACCTGACTCGCTAGACACAAAACGAGCAACAAGAAGCCTAAAACGACCAAAAATGAAGCACTGTCTATCAAAAGATCTTCAAAAACCAAAATACTCCAACCATACATGGTCGAATTGAAATAAAAATAAGTACTAGGAAAGATAAAAAATAATACAAAAATAAAAACTTTCCCCAAACTGCTTCCTCACATGGAGGTAGTTCCGGAGGAGGGCGAGCTGCTAATAAACTTTTAGCAGTCGGCACTTTTAATAACAATCATCTCTCTACTAAAAAATAAGAGTCTTCTCTAATACTCCCTCCAGTTCTTTTTAAACTTCAGTGTTTGACTTCACAGTTATTAAGGAAATAAAGTTGACTTTACTGTAGAGTACACTGTTGAGACACTGTTTGGCACTGTTGAGACACTGTTTAGCACTGTTGAGACACTGTTTTGATGTAGATTTCTTTGCCAAATAAGGAAATAAGGAAGTGTGAAGTTTATTTTGGACCGTCCCAAAAAGGAAAGTGTGAAGTTTATTTAGAACCGGAGGGAGTAAATTGAACGACATAAGGAACGATTAATTTCAATGGATTGTTGTGTTTTTGACACCCCGGAAAATGATACGGAGTAGCTGTGTTTGAATATATAAGTTTTACTTGTTGATAACAATTACTTCGTATAAACTAAACATAATATGTTAGTTCGTTGATTAGGAATGAGTACGTACTCCACATGATAGTG